ATAAGAGACAGCCGCTGGGAAGGAAAAAACGAATCCTAAGGCTCAGGAATGGAGATAAGGGCAGAGAGGGGTCGCTCACCCATTACATTACATTTTCTCACAGGCAAAACACAGGCTCCTTACGGGAAGAAAAAGGATGTTACTTTAACTCAAAACACAAACAACAGTGACACTTAACAGACAGAATGGGACAGTGAGAAGTGTTACGATGTCTTAAAAACACCTCCCCCCACCCCTCCCTTCTGCCTGGGCTCAGTTTTGTTCCTGATCTCTCTACCTCCTTCCCCAGCAGCACAGGATCAGGGGATGAGGGGTGCAGTCAGCCCACTGCTTCTTCCTGCTGGGAAGGGGAGAAGCACTCCTCTGCATTCTTCCCTTGCTCCTTGGCATCCCTCTCATAGCAGACAGTTCTCCACGAACTCCCACAGGATGCAGCTCATCTCCAGGTGCTCCAGCGTGGGTCACCCCCACGTGCTGCTCCTCCCAGTGCTGAACTGCAACAGTGGGGGCTGCTTCTTCTCCCCACAGAGTCCTGGGGTCCCTCCACAGGCTGCAGGTGTATCCCTGCTCACCGCAGACCTCCATGAGTGGCAGGGTGGCCCTGCCAACACAGGGCACAGGGGGGCTCTGCACTGGTGCACCTCCCACCCTTCCTCCTCCTTCCTTCCACCGACCTCGGTGTTTGCAGACGTGTCCTTCTCTTAACTCCACAAAGTTCCATCCTCCTTTCAGGTTTCTTGTCTTTAATATGTTATCACAGAGGTGCAGCCACAGTCGCTAATTGGCCTTGGCCAGAGGCAGGTCTGACCTGGAGCTGGGGGAACTTTGAGCAGCTTCCCACAGGGGCCACAGCTGTAGCCTCCTCCCTCACCACACAGACCCAGCACACTTGATGAAAATTTCCTGCAGTTTGCAGGAAGGCACCATAAAACTACATCATGAGCATAAATAGTCAGCTAAAGTAAAACAGTACACCACCTCTGGTGTCTATGCTACCTGAAGGACTGAGAGTTTTAACTCATGCTTCTGGCTTCACACCTATTTCAAGAGTGCCTCTCTTTTGCTCCCGGTCATGAAAAAAACACATCATGAAAGCCTCCTTTTATATGCCTGTGTGGGAATTTATTTTTTATATTTTCACAAAGTATTTGGTGGTATCTCACACTGATGCCTTTGTATACAGGGTAGAGGAAATGTAACAAGAAGCAAACAAATCATTAAAAATACAACGTGGGAGGGAATGGAGTAGCCAGGATCCTAAAACCTTCATAGGAAAATAAGACCCAAGATAAAACTGAATTTTCTGAGTGCCAGATCTTAATTCTTTTGGAATTGAACCCATAGGTCCTCAGTCAGACGCCTTTAAAAATGGTCTTGGTCACAAAATTACTTTGTGATTAGGTAAAATGTGAAGAAAGGAACTCATCTCCTCTAAGCCCTTCTGAAATGCAAGGCAACAAGATGTCAGGAGAAGATATGTATGGTATTTGCAGTTCCTAACTGGAAACCCAGCTGGTATTTGAAAAACTATGAATTAAGTCATTTTGTGTTTGCTAACAAGGGTAAATTGAATGTTTACTTACATTAAAATGTTTGTTTAAAATGTTATATTTTTAAATGGTAATCTGGAATTTGGAGTTTGTCCACAATTCAGTCTTTTCGATGACTAATGTTGCTCAGGGTGTTCAAGGGTAAAGTCCTCCTAGAAAGCACTTCTAGGCTTCATCTGACTTTTTAAATGTCTGCTTCGGGATGAGTCACACCCCAGAAATGCCTCTTTCTCTCCATCAAATGTGAAAGAAGCCCCCAGTGTCTGGCTCCAGTGGAAACAACTGCACTGGGAATGTCTGGAGCTAAGAGGAGACTAATCCCTCCCACAGTGGGACAGCTCATACATTTACAGAGATCCGAGTGGCTATGCCTGAAGTGAAGCATATCCTCTTTAAGGAGCCAGAGCCAGCACCCTGTGAGCTGCACCCCTCCTGGGCAAGAGGGGGGGCTCAAACTGGGGCTCACATCACTCCTCCTGCCCTTGAGGTGTAACCATCCGTAGCGAGTACAGCCAGAAGTTTGCACCCTGAGAAGCACAGGAGGCTCCGTAGAAATTTAAGACCCACACAGGAACTTGTCCAGGTTTCTCCAGTTTTCAGAAGTGTGAAGAACTGGCTGGATGTTGCAAGGACCCCTTAATGACACATCATTTTGGGCGCATGGGGAAAGGGGAAAACTTCAGTGTTTGCAGCATTGTTAGTGCAGTGGCTCTGGCAGCTCTGATTTGAGAAAAGCACATCTCCCATTCCCTTGCCACAACTTCTAAGCACTTTGAAGCTTCCTAATGGAGAAACGTGCTGGTTAAACCATGTTTAATATATAAGATCACAGCACAAGCTTGTATGACTAGAGGTCTGAGATGCAGGGGCCAGAAATACTGCATCTCTATTTCCTGGTGCCTAACAGAGGAGGAGGAGCAGCAGCTGAATGAATCTGGCTCACCAGCTCAGTTGTCTCGGCCGGACTGCAGATATAGTATGGATTTAGAGAAGGGATATGCTTCCCATATCTTTATAGTATTTGATGTTTGCTTGTTTGTGATCAGTGCAGGGAGTTGTAAGGAAATAAGACCCCAAATTGTAAGATGGAGCTGTTCTTATTTTACACAAGAGAGCAATGGCATATTGAAACACTCACTGATGGTTTCCCTGGTCTGCAGGGAGTGCTCAGTAAAAGCTTTCTGCTACGTCTGGATTGACATAACTGGGATTGTTGGTCCCGCATGAATTGAGCCAGGAAGTACTGCAGTACAGAGATGGGCCAGATAGGAAAGCAAATGTCACTGACAGGCAAGATCTAATTTCAGTCTTAGGCTAACGCTGTGACTGATGCTGAGCCAGTAGGAAATTATTACAGCCTAGATTAGATTACGCATGCAGTGTCAGAAGAGCCCTCTCCACCTCTGCATGCATCCCTGCCCTTCCCTACCACACTCCAGAGAGCAGCCAGCCCCTCGCCTCTCTTCCATCATGCTCTTGTTAATACAGGTAGGTAAAGCTGTATAAGCAATTACAAGCTCTTCTATCAGCCACCTTCCCTCACCCTCTCCTGAAATCTCATTAAAGAAAAAAAAAAAAAAAGAAAACCTGTCTGTATGGAAATCCAAAGTGACCTCTCTTACACATGCACTGGTATTTGTCTCACCTGCCAGAAGCACAAAGGGCTTTTCAGGTGCAGAGCATCAGCGGGGCCAACAGCAAAATGAATGACTGCTACAAACCAGAATGGGAATTTGAACCCCAGCAGCTCCAGCCACATCTGAAACTCTCCACCAACAGATCCCTCTGGCCTGGTACTGGCAAGCATGTTTGCCTCAGCATAAAACTCTCCTTCTCTTTGTCTCTCCAACAAAAGGAGCAGGTTTGGGTTACAGTACAGGACAGTGAAATGTTCTTTCCTGTCCCATTGACTAGGAGAGAAGCCATCTTGCTCACACTCCAGCCAGAGTTAACAGAGCTCTGTGCAAAGTCACACATCCACATGCCATGGGACACCAAGATGAAGCTCGTGTTACACAAGGGGATGGCAAGTTATCAGGTAAAGGAGTATCCAGATGACTTCAAGAGACAAAGTACAGCCTTTGTGGATGTAGGGAAACACCACAGAACCACTGACAGTAGGTGCAGAAGCTGATATAGAAGAAAGCAGCAGTGATCCCTGTCTCTCTGAATGCGGCTGCATAACAACAGGGGTTGTGCAGAAAGGGAAGATCCTGCGCAAGGGAAGGTTGGGTTTCCCTGCTCAGCAGTGTGTACTCGGATCCCTGAGAACTGTCCTGCTCGAGCTCAGGTGGGTCTGAATCAGCTCTCATGACCCAAGTGTCTCTCAGGTGTGAGTCCCAGTTGAACTGAAAACAAAAGGTAGTTTTCACTAGCTTGGGATTTCATACAAAACCAGAGAAAACTTGGATCTGAAAACAAAATATCCCCAAAGTCCAATGGATTCATTTTTTAGAAGCTGGTGCTAATGCCCAGGAAATAGCTTCATTGCTGTTTGTATTACACTTACAGTTCTGCATGAGATGTTGCACAAATACTTAGCATGGGCTTGTCCTGTGCTTACATGGCCACCGGGTTGATTGTTCTGGGTTATTTGTAATGGCTGAGTGTTCATTTATTCAGTGTATTGTTACAAGCATCTTAAGGCTGACTAGAGCATTGTATAGGCATTCGTTTAGGTTAGCTTGTAAAAATTTAGTAGTAGTTCTCCCCTGAGTTGCAGACATGAGCAGAAATCAGGCCCTAGAAGAAAGGTTTTAAATGCTGGCAGCTGGACTAGCTGGGATGGCAGGGAAATGGGATTTATCTTTATTAATGCTCTTTTCAAAGCTTTGGTTTTGAGTCAGTCAATTCTTTCCAAGTTTGACCTTATTAATGGCTAAATTGTGACTAGCACTGATATGTAGCAAGTCAGATTAAGCTGGCCTGAAACCAGCTGAGAGGTGTGATTTAAAAGACAGCTGTCTGTACTCTAATTTCTCCATGAGACAAAAGCTCCAGTTTAGGGACACATCTGAGGATAAGTTTCTGTCCTATATAGTCAGTCAAGATTGTGAAGTGTAGAAAATGGATGAGTATAGAAAAATAAAGTTAGGAGAATCCTATGGCAGGCAGTTGGAGACTCTTAAAAGAGCAAAACAAGTTGTAAAAGTGGGTTTTTTTTTCCAAGAGTGAGAGGGATCCTAGCAATAGCATTAGTCCACCATGACAAATTTCCTGTCTTCATCACTAAGGCAGGAGGACACAATTTTGTTCTGTTCTCTACAGAGGAAGGAGGAGTTAATGGGTTGATACCATATCAGGTCTGTTAAGATACTTTAAAGCAAATGGTAAGTAAACAGGAAACCAGGCAGCAAGAGTGCTGAGAAGCAGCTGTTAACAACAGGCTATCTAAAATCAGCAGGTCAAGACAAATTCTGTCCAGCATGTTATTACAGACTGTTACCTTGCATCAGTCCTGTCCCAAATAAAAGATAAAGAGTTAATCCAATGCTTAGGGTGTGCCCTATTGTTCCGAAGCAGGAGCTACAGTTTCCAAATTATCCCTACCAGAGATATATGGCCTAAATGCACAGATTTACCAAAGGCACTTAAGAGCTTCGAAGAAATCCTTCCCCAAGAGGGATACTCTCACTACATTAACAAAGTTCTTTCCTGCAGCATGTAGGATTGAATGAACTTCTGCTATCATACTGCATTTTGCTCTTAACTCTTACCTCCTCTACCTCCCTTTTGTTAGTGATACCAGGGAATTCTTCATGGCATCTGTGATTCATATTTAACAGTCTGTCTTCATGAGTGTTGTCATAGGGAATCACAGAGGACTATCCATCCCTACAGCAAACATCAGAGAAATGCAAAAACAGGCACCTGGAAATAAAATGAAGCGATTTTTAAAAATATTAAAAATAGAGAACAAGTCTTTGAATTTAACCCGTACCCAGAAGAGAGAATGGGGACTTAGACCGGGAATGGGGAAATAATTTCATACTTTAGGACTAGCCCAGAAAGTCTTTGCCTTGGCAGAGTACTGGTGTGCTGGCACACGCTCTCAGAACAAGTCGTATTAGTTGACTGAGACGATATCCTATTCCGTTCATTTTCCCTTTTGTGAGCCAACAGCTAATCCTGGCGTTTCTTTGTGATATCTTCCCCTCTATTCTTCACCTGTTCAAATGAGAGTTTCCCAATATGCTGGCCATGTGCTTGGCCCGAGGAAGACCTCACCCACGGTTGTGACCTCTGTACAATGCTGCTATAACAAATGTGTTTGGGAGTGCAGCGCAGCTACTTGCCTTAGGTGATGAGACAACCTCTCCACTTTTGGGGAGGCAGCCAGATGCCTTCCTGCTGCAGCCAGCTGATGTTCAGTGTAAGGTCTGAGGTAGCCAAAGCCTACAAACATGGCAGAGTCTGGTCCCTCCCTGGGGAAGGAAAAGGACCACCAAGCACAGGCTCTGGGAAGTGCCCAGGATCTAGTTTTGCTAGCCTGGGCTAAGTACCTGCCTTTAGTACCCATTCAGGGCTTCCTCCCCTGGAGTTGAACAACCAAAGGGGTTTCCAGCAGAAAAATCTGGGCTGGTGCCTGGTGGCAGCTTGCCAGGACTTCATGTTACACTGGGGGACCACCAGATCGGCCTTGTCCTGCTTTGACTGTGATTTCACAGATCAGAGGCCCTGTCCCAGTCCCCCAGGCTGCCCATCCCTGCCACAGTTGGCAGCACTGAGCAGCCTGGTGCGTGTTAGCTGGATGCAGTACCATGCTTATACATTAAAAATGCCATAACGCGGGGTGGCCTCTTCCAAGCAACAACCTCATGCCCCGCTGCCTGCCACTGGCACTACTGGCACCCACAAATAATGTGTCACAGGAGCCATGAAGTGCTGCCTTCCACTCCTGGGTCATCTGAGGCTTCATCTTGTGAGGCAGCGTGCCCTAGGAAGAAGGAAAGGGCAGATGGAGGGAAAGGGGGGCCTGGGGTGCCCCCCCCAGGTCCTGCTGAGCCCCATGGCAGCATCACCCCAGGCAGTGGGCAGGGAGGAGATGCGGACAGCAGGCACCAGACCTGCCTTCACTTTGTCTCACAGGACTTAATACCCTTATCAACTTGATGTGTCTACATACAAAGCACAGCCAGTCCTCCTGTAACCAGCATATAATTATAAGCATTTATTGAGGGCACCCAGCACCTAAACACTGTAATTAGAGAGCAGTTAAGGTCAGACAAGTGATCAGTTAACAGCAGTTCTCTGACTTGGCTTACGTGCCTTGTTCATCTTCATTCAGAATGATTTAGCCTGCTGACAGTCATATAATTTTTGGCTAGGTGATCCTGAACATGTGAGTGTTAGGCCATGAAAGCTTTCCCAGAATTACCAGCAGATGAAGGCTGAGTTCCTGCCTTCCAGGAGAACCTTTCCCTTGTCCTGCCACCACCAGGCTCGGTGTCTTGGTCCTTTCCCATGCCACACTGTGCCTGCATGTGCACGCAGCTTTTTGTGTAGCTCCTAAAGCTCTACTAATTAATCTAGTCAATGAGAAGAACTTTTGCTGTACTGCTAATCTCAGGCATTTCCATTCTGTGTGCATTTTGCTTTGACTCACAGATGTGTGTTTATTTGACAGGCTTCATTTTTGAATTTAGGATTAATTTATGTGGACTGAAACATGCAAAGTTATGCATGAGAAGACAGGGCGATAGGGATCGGGATTGCCCGAGCCCAGCCTTCTGAACATGTACCTGTCATTTTCAGTGTCAGACTCAGGATTTTACATTTGTTTTGACTACATTAGGAGAACACTGTGTCCTTATCCCAGTACTCTACTAGTAAAAAAAAATGCCCATAGCAGGGAGGAAAAATATTGTCCTTGATTTCATATCCCATCCAAGGTAACTATTTTCTTTTGATCTTAATGCTCTTGTTTCTTTGTATCTCCTTCCTTTTTTCCTATTAGCCTTTTCCAGTAAACAATAGAGGGCTTGCAAGGTTAGCAGAGATTGGTTTTTTTCTTTATGAAGGGAACATCAGCACATTAACTCACCAGACATACACATATCTGTGGCTGCTCAGAACACCACACCAACAGCACCAACAGCAGGCAATCCGGTGTGCTCCCCAGCAAAGGCCCTGCCCTCCAGCACCCAACGGGAAATGCTCTGAAATGTCACACAGCAGGTCAGGATGATTTTAATATTTTTTCTGGCCACAAAATACACAAAGTAAGGGAAATTATTCTTTTGCAGCAGAAAGACTATCATCACCTAACACAGCTCACACCATTAGAAAGCGACCTAACACAGGGTACTTGGATTATTACTACTAATACTTCCACTTTTAAAAAATCTGCCCAAAAACTACCCTCCAAAAATATATCAAAATATCATTAGAATACCAAATACGTTTATAGAGCTGTGTTTGCTTTTTTTCTCTCTCATTGCACTATCATGTTGTTCTTTCACATGGTGAGTTTATCATCTGCTGGTTCCATCAGGTCCTGCACTGTGGACGTATGTCTGGAGGATGAGCTGGGACCCTGCAGAGATCGACAAGGAACCACCAAAGAGAAGTCATTGGCCTCCACACCGAACCACATGTGTTTGGAGAGGACAGTCATCCCTCCAGCCAGAGGAAAGCAATCATAACAGCTAAATTATGGGACTTCAAAGATTTCACTGCATTGTAAATCCTGAGCACAGCAGCTGCTCGGTATTGTCCTGGTGAGAAAAACTGATCAGTCTCATTTAATCATGTCACACTTCATTTGTGCTACAAGTGTCAGGAAGCTGGTCAAAACAAGGTTAACAGGCTACAGTGCGTCACAGGCCCATAATCAGATTAAGTGGGCAGTTGCCCAGTTACTGGCCGTGATTATATTCACCCTACAATATTGCTTTTAACTGTTTGTGACTGGGTTGCCAACCTGGTATTAGAGGCAGGAAAGACAAGGCTAAGAACCCAGGGGAAATCAGTTACTGCTAGAGATTAAATGGAGCTCCTGCAAGGTGCAAAATAAAAACTGACAAGAAAGATAGAAAGGTATTTGCATTTTCACATATTCTGTTTTTTAATACTGTGAGCAGCCTTCAGTATGGGCACAATAATTTTTAAACTTTCTTTATACACACATATATTTACCTCGGCAGCAACCCATTAAGTAATCTATTAAAAATAAAGCTGGGGGAAATGAATGGGGCCTTTTCCTAGTATTTTATAGGTCATAATAAAACAGGACCTTTCCTTCGACACTTTCTTGATTATTCAACTTGAAATGCATTTTTCACAGCTCTCAGATTTCATTGCTTCATCACCAGCTCAGTGGGGACAGAGCATAAACCGTATGGTCTCTGTGCGGCTCCAGGTCAGGTTACACGTCTGTGGGGTCCTCCAGGCTAAGTACGCCAAGAGAATGATGTCATTTGAAAAGAGACCCAGGTCAGCGCGTGCTCATGTCCCCAGCTGCCTGGAGTGAGCCTCACTGCTGGGACCTGATGTAGAGTTGCCATGGGAAATAGCAGTGTAAGAAATACAAAGATAAAAAATACCCCTCAGTGTTTTAAAACCTGCGTGATAAACAAAGACACAAGCTCTCCTCCTCACCCCGCCTTCAGTGCCCCCCTCCCCACCCGCCTCCCAGCTGTGCTCCTCCCTTGCTGTTTCTTACACCAACGCAAGAATCAGAGCTGGCCCCCCACCTTACATCCTGAAGCACTTCCCTTTTGCCAAAATGTTAATTTAAAAGAAAGTAAAAATGGTCTCAAGCTTGCACAGAAATATATAATTAGTGAAAAGGTGTCAGAGAATTAAATTGTTTTATTATTTTGGGAGCCTGACCTTTTCTACATCGAGATTCATATTCTCTGGCTTGGCGTGTGTTCCTGTGTAAAGTTAGACATCTGTTTCTCTTCTGTGACTCAGTTTTACTGACTGTAAAGCATATTTGATCCTATTATGATATGAAGCCTTACTAGGCAAACAACCAGCACAACTCTGAGATTCCTGGACAAAGCCCTGATTTTCCTCCAAGTGCAGCTTCGCCAACAGGTAGAGCTCCTCCAGTTCAGGGTCTCTGCCTCTTGAAATTACAGCATTTAACACAAATGCGCAGTCTTCCTCTATGCACTTTGCTCTGCCGGTGGAACACAGACCCTGAACAAAGGACAGAACCAAGCTAATGCCAAAATAGTTGGAGGTACCAGGAGTGTGGGCTTTGCACCCTGCGCCCTGGCCAGTTAGCAACAGGATTGCTCTCAGCCTTGCCCAAAGTGGGGGCTCTTAAACAGGTGAAGCAAAAAACGCCACCAGAAATTATCTTAAGAGCAGAAGAATTGAGGACCCTCCTGAATCAGGATTCGAAACAACTGCAGCAGCTGGAGCATACGCTCTGGGTGAAGCCAGGCCATAGGCACTTTGCATTTCGAGGCTGTCAGCACATCCTTCCCTGTCACATCCCCTCGGCTCTCCATCTGGCATACACCTGTGCCTTGCTCCCGGCTCTTGGCAACGCGGATGCCTGAATAGAGAAGAAGCCTTTCCTTCAGCGGGTTCAGAGAGGATGACAAATTGATTTCTCCCCTGACTTCCCAGTCAGAGCAGCCCTTAACCCACTTCAGGCAAAACAGCCTGGTTTAGTTTAAACAATCTAAGCAGAGAGTGTAAGTTATTCTGATTGGTTTTGCCTGGAGCAGGACTGGGAGTGCTCACAGGAACCAGTTTGCCAGGAGAGCTGACGAACGGCTGGAGGAGGAGGTCCCACCGCTGGATGGGGAGAGGACTTGTGGCCACAGCCCTCTGCCTGGCAGCAGAAAACTTGCTTCTTCTCCTTTCCTAATACAGAAGGTAGGTTTTATCCCTGGAGGTGTGTGGGAGAGGCCCAGTAAATCTGCCTAGTGAAGCACAGTCTCAGTGCAATGGTCTCTTTAATGTGGAGTTGGAGCAAAAGGAAATACAGCTGAATGAGAGACACTCCCTGAGATTCAGTGTTGGCCAGGGAGGGTGGTACAGGCCTGTGGGGATCGTCTGGGGAGAAAGCCAATAATGGGAAAGCTTGCAAAATCCAAACCTAATCTCTTGCGCTGCGGAGAAGTAATCCTCACGCTTGACATTAATCTTTTCAACAGAGATATAACGGCCTTATCTTCCATGCTACTCCCTGAGCCAGAAAGCAGGGCCTATGGACTTTATAGGCTGGATATGGAGCTGCAGAAATCCTTACGCTGACATTGTCTTTATGCTGGGTCTTCTTAAGATTTCAGTATGGACTGGGCTGTCTTTGATGACAGCTGGCCTTTGCTCTTTTTTGAGAAACACACCCCCGTGTAGTCCTGATACAGCCCCTTCTCTTGAAATAAGAAATCTCTTTTGACCTAGCAAGGAGGAAGCCACTGGCAAGTAGGACTGTAACAAACTGCACCCCACTGGAAGATCTCCAGACTTGGGCTGGCTGGCAGGGGGTATGGCTCTAGTCTCTTCTATGGTCTTGCATGTGGCATCACCTGGAGAGTCCTTGTAGTTTGGGTTTGCTGTCACAAAAATGGTACTTGTGTTGCCAATGATGGCAGCCTGATTAGCCTGGAGACAAAAGCCTTGCTTTCCTCCCTTGGAGCAGAGGCCATACAGCTTGCCCTACATGCAGTGCTCAAGCCAAAGCCCATTGAGTTTTCCTTTCTTCTGGACCAGGTCTGTAGGTTCACCCTTCTCTACCTCTTTCTGACCCAGAGGCCTTTCTGATTATTTTTTTATTTCTCCCCTCCCCCCCCCTCCCCC